AGATGTATTATAACATGATTTTTTTATCCTCTACATGTTAGAATGCTGAGAGAATAGTGAAAGAATTCACACTTAAATCAAGTTGAGAAAAATCTTGTAGAACTTGCTTTCTGTTCTTGAACTTGTTGCCTTCTTATCATTTGACCTAGTTGGGAAGTCCACTAAAATTTGCATAGAAATAACTACAACAAATATTAAAATAAAACTCGTGAGATGGTAGAGGGGTTAGAGATGATCATTTATAACTAATTAATTGTTGGAGAGCTGATGAATTTATAGAGAAATCTTGTTCAAAAGCCTCATCTATTTCTTGCCACCTCTTGAGATTTAAATTCCAAATTTAGTTTGAAATTTGAACGACTAGAAACTAATATGACCTCTTGAGAAATCAACACATGTTTTTGATAAGCGCCAACTATATATCTAAAACTTATTGGTTTAAAGATGTCTAGTGAAGATATGTTATGTCTTAAACAAATCAATGATGCATTAACCAAGTCTCAATATATTAAATCATAAGTTTGTTGATATACAATATTTGAACTTATTTTCTAAATGATATTTTTTATTATTCAATTTTTTTTGAGAAGTAGTATGAGCAATACAAATTTGATCAATTAATTTGATACCAAAATCATTTATAAATAATGATCTAACATCATGAGAACATAATATGTTGAGTAAGCTTTTATATTGATATTTTAATTTGTGGATTTTCATTGATTGGGATGTGCTAATCATTACTTTTCATGGTGATAAGTTTTTAAATGTTGATTGTTTCCAACTTAATTAAAAAATAATAATCTCTTAGTAAAATCCACCAAACTCACGAATTCAACATCATAAATCGCAACTACATTATGTGACTTCTGTTTTGGATATTTGACATTAGTATTGAGTTATTTCTGAATTTATGTGCAAATAAACTCATGGTCATGCATTGTAGATCATGCATAATAAATAATAAACATAATTTTATGAGTGTTTTTCGTTGACCAAATAACATGCATTTAAAGCTCTAACAAAGACTGATTTCACAAATATGTCATGGTAGCGGTCAAATTATTATCCTCTAATGCTTTCATTTTTTTTTTGGCTGAGTTTCTAAACTTGGTATACTTAGTTTGAACTTATTCTTTACATCTTCCAAAATTTTGATATTTTTAATGACTCTAGACTATTGATGCCCTTGATTTTGATAATTATAAATCAAAATTTATTGATAAGAGATTATATAATATTGATGTTTCTTTCAGTGTCGCTTATAGGTTTTGAATATTTAAAACATTGAACAAAGTCATTATATCAAATTATTTTTATTAATTGATTTTGATATTAGTATTAAGAATCAAATTCAATGATTTGCTCCTTGAGATTCTATTTTTCTATCTTGGGATTATTTAGAGGTAAAATATTACTAGTTGAAGAAATACATAAAAGTGAAAGGCTAAGTATATGGTTATATGGTATAAATTCACAAAAGCCATCAAATGTTTCATTTTTGATTTTTGTTCAATAGTGGTATCAGACTCTTGGCCCACTAGGGCCCATTATCTATCTCTCTCTTCTCATCTCTCTTTCTTCTCTTCTATATAATCTCATGTACTTCTCTTCTTCCTTAGATAAGGATTATGGATTCTAGGGTTTTCCCCTCTCGTGTCAACATGGTATCAAAATCTTAGGTATCCCTTGTAGTTGTCCTCTTCTCCAGTGCACCGCCTATCTCCTGCATGCCGCTCTCCTCCACGTTGGCCTTTTTCCTCGGGCGGCTCTTCAGCGTCACCACTCTTCTCTCTTGTGACGTCGTCGTCTCTACCATCGCTCTTCTCCTTTTAGCGTCGCCCTCCTTGCCTTCGCTTCTGCCTCTCTCTAGGCCGCTGTGCCGCCGCCGGCCACTCCTTCAGGTCGCCAGCCGCTCCTCTAGGCTGCCATGCTGCTGGCACCTCCTTCTTCGACAGGCCACACTCCTCCAGCAGTGCCCTCCTTCGACGGCGCCCTTCTCTTCTCGGCGGTGCCAGCCTCCCAATGCCCTAAGCATCGCCTCCCGATGCCTTGTGTGTCGACTCCTGACACCCTGCGTGTCGACTCGCAATGCTCCGTGCGTTGTCTCTTGACGCCTCGAGCATCGCTTCCTGTTGCCCTGTGCATCGCCTCCTGACACCCTGTTGTGTCCCAGTGTCTTCTTGAGCCAAGCTCTCCTCCTCATCCACCTCCTCTGGCTCATTGCCCTTGCCTTCTCTGTCATCCTCAGGCTCTTCTAACCTTGCTGCTGCCTCCCTCTCCAGCATGCCACCCTCCTCCAGCGGTACCCTTCTCCTCTTAGCGGCGCTAGCCTCCTGACTCCCTGAGAGCTGTCTCACGATGCCTCGAGCACCGCCTCTAGACACCCCGTGCGTCACCTCCCAATGCCCCAAGCGTCGCCTCCTGATGCCTCGTACGTCACATCCCGATGCCCTGTGCTGCCTCTCGACGCATCGCTCATTGCCTCTCACCTGCTGACACCTCACACGTTGCCTCCTAGCGCCTGACATGACTTAGTCATTGTATAGTAAATCACGCAAATTTAAAATTTATAAAACTAGAAAATATAATCTTTTAGATATTTAGAAGTATTTATGAGCAAATATATCAATTATAATTCAATACAAATTTCAAAAATAATGCTAATTTTCCAGATTGATCACAGGAATGTAATATAATATTAGGTAATTATTCAGAATTTTTCTCAAAGAATACTATTTTCTATGAATCTTACACTATGAAATGAAAATGAAATATATTTAAAATTCACGAAAAAGAGAAACAAAGGTGTAGACGTTAAGATGACGTCAGTGCCCAGTGAATACAAATCGGACGAAAATAGAGTTTCGCTTGACGATTCTTATATAAGCGATTATAGAAGATTTAATGGATCAAATTAAGATCTGTAAAAGTCGGAAGAATCGTAATTGAATGAAATCTAACTTGGTAAATTTAAATCACACAAATTATCACTAAATGAAGCAGAAATTAAGTTGAAAGGAGTAAAATAGAGTTCCGGCGTCGCAATGATGATGCGATGGCGATGCGTCGGCGATGCATCGGAATCTTGAGCGTTCGGGAGGATCGTCGTGCAGTGTCCATAGCCTCGAAGGCTTTCCTTAGACAAAGACGACGTGGACAATCTCTAGATCTCTTTGCGAAGTCTAGAGATCAATGAAATGGGTTGTTGAATCATCTCCGGCGACTGTCACCCAACAGAGTGGAAAAATGGCGACTTTGTGGCTCTCCGATGGCTGTCACCCGATGGAGAGAAGTTGGATGGAGATGGGGTGCGTGTTAGAGAGCTTCATCCTCAGGTCTGCGCAACAAGAGGAGGCACTTCATCGCATCCGGTACGCTCTCAAGAGGTGGCGACTCGTCTCCTGACGGATCGTGCTCTTCCCGACAACGGCTTGTTCGTCGATCAATCGGAGATGCTTTACTTGATAGATTTGCGATCTTTTTATCACAAATTGCTCGGTAATTTTAATAATAATGTTCTACGAATCGCATTGAGAAGATTTTCGTCGATAATCTAACAATTTTGGCGGCTTAATCCTTTACCGGTGATTTGTAAGAAAGTTGTGATAATCAGATAAAAAATATGAGTTCTGGCTTTGGGAGGATTTGAACCCGTGCCGGTTACCTACCTGCATGAGAGAGATTGAAATAAGTACTTGAATGTCCTTATCAAATGACGTCATCATGGTATATCTCTATGATAAATAAGGGGTATTGTAGGTATTAAAATCATCAAAGCCTTTCGGGGGAAGGTGTGATGGGGGTTTAATCTCACATCGCTTGTGTGCTAAAGTTTTGGGTGAATATATAGTAATATTATATTTACAAGCAAGTTCCTTTCTCCCCTATGTATGACCACTCCTTGCCACACAACCAGCTAGCCATCAGTGATGTGGAAGGGGAGTGGCGGACACGTGCCCCCATTGGTCCTAGCCGCTTGAGCCCTTGCTCGCGGTCACGGCTCCTCCTTGACTGTGCTTCTGACCCGCTTGCGGGCTTGACTAGCCGGCAAGTACCCCCCATTTTGCTATATTTTTATTTTTATTTCTTTTTCTTCATTTATCTCAAAAGTAAGACTATAAAAATCATATAAATTCATATAAAATCACATAATTAGCCAAAAATTCATGTTAATTAGCTAAAAACCACTTTTTACCTTTAACACAAATATAAGTCTATTTATCATGAGCTGAGGCTAAAACTATATTATTTACTAATTATTAACTCATGATAATGAAGACTTATCAGCGCCCTATGTTGCCTCTTGACGCCTTGCGCATTACCTCCTGACATGTTGTGCGCTGCCTCTTAGTGCCTTGTGCATCACCTCTTGGCGCCCCGCGCCGCCTCTTGATGCCTCATGTGCCGCCTCCTGGTGCCTCGTGCGTCACCTCTCGATGGCCCGGGCATCAACTCTGACACCTACGTGCCACCTCATGTGTCACATTAGTCTTGTGAGGATCTCTCATGATGCCATGTGTGCCAAGTTGAGCTTATTCGACTTATATCCTCAAGCTTGAGGAGTGTTCGATAATGGTATTAGACTCCTAGCTCACTAGGGCCTATTATTTATCTGTCTTCTCATCTCTCTTTCTTCTCTTCTATATAATTTCATGTACTTCTCTTCTTCTTTAGAGAAGGATTATGGATTTTAGGGTTTCCCCCTCTCATGTCAACAATTTTATAGTGATATAACTATATCATGCAGTGTTTATTATTTCAAAATGATATTATATAGGTTTTTGTTAAAGCTAGATTTATGTGTTTTAAGTAGTTTTATTATTTGATTTTATTTTGTTAACTTGTAGAATAAATATAGGATATATTGTTAATTTTAAAAGTTTGAAGTTAGAATACTTAGCATAATTTTTTATTATTAAAATAAAAAATAATAAAATATAAAGATTCTTCTACCTGTTGACAAGCCGGCACTCGACAGTTGACCTAGAGGGGGGACAATGGTCGAGCAGGTAAACCTAGACCAGGGGAGCCATGAGCTGGGCTCAAGTGGCGAAGGCCTCTCTTTGTGCACGTGTCTGTCACTCCCCTTCCATGTCGTGGTGGGCAATCAATTGTGGGGCAAGGAGCGCCCGTACACACGTGCGCGTGTGAGGGCAGACCACCTTATTGCCTTCTCCCAAGATGGTCTTGGGCATTATTTTATTTCAAGAGAAGGGATCTCTGCCGAGAGACATAGTTTTAGTTTATATTCGGCATATGTTTTGAAATATTTTCGATGTGGGACTAAATGTTTTCATTTGTTTCAGCACAGCCATTTGGAGTGCTATGTGATCTAGCAGTACATAGAGAGTCATGTCATTCGATTAGCCTGATCCTACGGCTGGCGAACCGCCACAATACTAGATGTGTAAAGTGATTCATTGGCGGTTTGCAAATCTGACGCCGCGCAACATGCACGTGGCCTCAAAGGCTGATCCGATGGCTATGGAGGCGCCACGTTACCAAAACTTAAGTTTCTGACTGGTAGTGCTTAATCCACGTGACCAAGCTCATCTGATCTAGCGGTTCTCGGAGTTCCATGATACCGGGAACTTAAGTTCTCACACGTATCACTATCAGGGAAATAAAGACAATAATCGATTATTGTCTAGTAAAACATACATTATTGATTATCTTTAAAATCTCGATGGTAGTCGTGAATACGACAAGCTGTTCTTCCCTACTTTTGCACGATTAACATCTTCGGCAATCGGCAAACTTCTTCCTTCCTCCCCTGACTGCACTCAAGGCCTTTGGCGAGTGGTCAGCTCTTCCCTTCTTCCCCCAAACAATAGTGACAGCATGGTCGACCCTTCTTTTGGCGGATCTCCCTAGCAGGCAATGCAGCACTTCCGGATGATACTTCTGCGACTTCTGACGTGGTGTGGCATGACTAGACGAAACCAAGCCACCACATTAGTGTCTCTAGTTGCCTAGGAGGCAGACTAAACTTGGGCAACAATTTATTTCTTGCTTTCAACATTTACTTACTTACTTTCGTCATTTATTTACATTTTATGGCAAGTTATTTTCATTTCATGCATGTTTCGATTGAAATCAGTAGAACTAATTCAATACTTAATGAATGATCTTCGTTCTTCTTTTGAATCCTCCGAAACTTGTCCAAGATCAAGCTAAGATCATTTTCAACTTATTTTCTATTAATTTTTGCAGTCGAATCTCAACATATTCATGTTCCTGACGTTCCACGAATAATGAGTATTTTCTATTTCGAATGCAAAATCACCAAGATTAAAGGTTGATTAATGAGCGTTCAACGGTTAAAACAAGCTGGAAACATTCACAGCTGACCTCATTTCATGTGTGTGAATCCTCGAGCACACATTCGTCCGAGAAAACAGGTTGATAGTATTTCTTTCTTCCTTTATTTTCGTCTTATTTCTGTCTCTCTGTCTCAAGTGAGATTTCTCTCCTCCTCTCTCTCTCCCTTTTGACGAGAGATCTCATCCCTTCTCTCTCTCATGAGAGCTCTCTCTTCTATCTCTCTTCTCTCTCTCTTTTCCTTCTTCCCTTTCTCCACTTTCCATCCTTTATTCTTCTCACCTCATCCTTTTATTTTATTATTTCTGTTAAGTATTAATAAAATATTAAAATCACTTTATATATAAATTAAATTAGTTTTCACGACGGATTAATCAATCTCCTTGTCTTTGACTAGAGACTTACTTCTATACTAGTATTTTATTAATTCTTAGTTATAAATATTATTAGATAATGTGTATTTAAATACGACGACAAGTGCACACCATCTTTTTAGTGCCTTTAATGGGGAGATCCATTTTTAGTCAGTGTTAATTGATTTAGTTTTATATATTTCAGTGATTTAAAAAAAATAGCTTTCATTATTTTCATTCAAATAGTATTTCAAAAAATTAAAAAAAAATTAGAAAAGTTTATTAGGCTCATTTGATTTCTATTTTTCTTGCATAAGTTAGAATTTTAAATCTTTAGTTTCTATTTATTTACTTGAGTATCTTAATTTTTCATTGATTCTATACTTCTCTTTGACATATTTATTAGAATCATATCTTCATGTCATGATCATTGTTAGATTCAAATTCTGAAAAACTTGATTTATGAATGGTAAACATAGCTTGCAACCAATCTTAGAAAATTAGTTACTAACCAATCTAAGAATTTAGGGGCACAAGAAAAACGAAATTTACCACCCATATTAGAGACTCCAACAATAGAAAAAGGAAAAAAATCATTATTTATAGAAGTAGAATCACCTAGGATGGATCATCCAGCCCAAGAGAGTGAGAATGTTGAAAATACTCAACCTTATAAACCTATGTGTGATTATTATACACCTGATTTATATAGACCTACTTTATAGGTTAGACCTCCTATTTTGCCAAATGTTTATTTTGATATTCGTCATAGCACTCTATAAATGCTTCTTGAATTTCATGGGTTAGCTAATGAGGAACCATATCAACATATTCTTTGAATTTTAGCTGCATGTGAACTTATTCATATTCCTAATATTCCTCAAGATGCACTTAGGTTACGTCTCTTCTCATATTCATTGCATGATAAAGCTAGAGATTGGCTCACATCATTACCACATGAGATCACCACATGGTTAGAAGTAGAGTAAGCATTTTTGAGAAAATTCTATCCTATTGGCAAGACTCATGCCATGCGGAAAATCATTCTCCAATTTACTCAAAAATCAGGAGAAGCATTTCATAAATCTTGGGAAAGATTCAAGGAACTTCAAAGGAAATACACACATCATGAAATTGCCAAGTGGCAACTAAATCGTGTATTTTATGATGGTATATCTGAACAACATAAAAATACTATAGATGCAGCATGTGGAGGCACATTCATGAGTAGGGATGAGGATGAAATTTATAAACTATATGAAAATTTAAGTGAGAATTTAGCTGAACGTGAATCTTTTGCTTTATATGATCGCAACAATAGTGAAAATAAAAAAGGAATCTTTGAGGTTAGAAATCATGATGCATTAGACATTAGATATGAAGTTAGTGAGGTTCATCAAAAGTTTAATATTTTATATGATCATTTGCTGCATAAAAAAGAACCTACACAGCCTATACAACTTTCATATTCCAGATGTTCATCATGTGGTAGAACTGATCATTATGAATCTCAATGTCTTAATTTAGATCAAGAATATGCACATGCACTTCATGATCATAGGAATCAATCAAATCCTCGAAAAAATTAGAATAGTTTTTCAAATTTTCAAAATCATGGTATGAATTCTTAATCATTTTCTAGACCTAATCATACATTTAAACCTTCTCATCAACCACAATATAATGCTAAGCCTTCTTTTCAGTAAAATACTCATAATTTTCAGTAAGGTACTCATCAGCCACCAGCCAAAAATTTCATCCCTTCTTCTTCAAGTTCAGTCGCTAATTTTGGCCCACAATATCCTAATTCATATCAAAATCAATCTGATATGAATTCAAATTCGATGCAACAGTTTATGGGGCAAATGATGCAGTAGTTTCAAGAAATAAATACATCTATGATGAAGATGATGGAGCAAATTAGGCAAGAAAATCAGCAAACAACCCTTAGGATAGAAAAAGAGAAAGGTAAACTAGCTAGGCCCACTCAAAACGTGAAACAGGTCATCTTCCTAGACAACTCATCATGAACCCATGAAATCAACCTTCTAATAGACACAAACCATCTACATCTCAAGATTTTGAAAATGTAGAAGCGGTGACCACTTTGAGGAGTGAAAACTAACTCAAAGATCCATATGCACCAGATTTGTTAGAAAAACAGGTTCATGACAATGAAGTGTTGAATGATGATGATAATGACAATGATAGTTTATTTTCTGATGATGAGAATTTAGAGGAAAAAAACAAGAATCAAAAGAAGAAAAATCAGAAGTACCACCCATTCCTATTTTATCACACCAAGATGAACTTAGAAAAACAGTCTCCTTTCTTAAGGCATTAGAACCAAAACTTAGGAAAAGAGTTGAAGCTAATGAAGAGTTTATGGAAATATTTAAACAAGTTCAGATCTCTATTCATTTGATAGATGCAATCAAACATATACCTGCATATGCAAATTTTTAAAAGAATTATGTACATCTCATAGGTCACCTCAGAAGATATCTTTATTCGATGAGGCTAGTGCCATTATTTCTCATTCTTTGCTTAGGAAATGTAAGGATCCAAGAGCACCTCTTATCTCATGTAAAGTGGGTGAAACTACATTTAGAAATGTGCTCTTAGATTTGGGAGCAAGTGTTAATTTATTGCGTTTGACTGTTTTTGAAAATTTAAAATTAGGAGGACTAAAACCAACTTCAGTGGAACTTCAGCTAGCTGATAGATCCATTAAAAAACCTAAGGGTCTCTTAGAAGATGCAATCATCAATGTTAAAGGATGTAGATTTCTAGTAGATTTTCTGATTTTAGATATTCTTATTTTAAATAATCTTACTCATACATCAGTCATCTTAGGATGCCCATTTCTTGCTACAGCCAAGGCAAATATTGATTGCGAAAATGGGATCATAAATATGAAATATGAAGGTCAAAATATCTTTTTAAATATCTCTTTAAATTTTTTAAAAAGGAAAATGCTAATTATGAAGATATTAAAGTAATTGATTCTTGCAGAGGAAGATAATTATGTTCAGCAAGTTGATCAATTAACTTTTTCATTCCATGCCCATTCATTAGGTCAAAAATATTACAGGAAAGAGGCATTAGATGATGACACAACATTCATGGAATCATCATAGATTGGTGTTCGACTGAAGACATTAAACTTAGCGCTGATTGGGAGGCAACCCAAGAATTTTATTTTTGTAGAATTTAATTGTGTTTTTTAGTTAATAAATTTAGAATTTCGTTGCTACTTATTTTTATTTCAGTAGTACCTCATACATTTATGTTTTATCATACTTGCTGATTTATGAGTATATATCTTTTGCTTCATAGTTTAATTTGTTAATACATTTCATGTCATTGAGGACAATTCCAATTTTAATTGGGGGGAGCAAAGAAAATTCAGTTAGATTTATTTCTTGAATAATTAGCATAGAAGGAAAATTTAAAACTAGTATTGATGAATTCATGGATTTCTATATTTTCCTATAAGATGGTAAATTCATTTAAGTATGAAGGTTAAAGTGTGCTAGATTTAGTGACTTTAAGTGAGAAAAAAAATGTAGTATGTTGAAGGATGAAATGTTTTCAGAATATATCTTGATGATCATGAGCCATATGTTATGAATTCACATTTTGAATTAGCAGGAATCATGAAATTAGATGTGATGAGGTTGAAATTTTATAAAAATTATTGGAAGCTAGACATTCTTAGTATGAGGAATCCTAAGTAGTTGACCATTTGTCTTATATATATATATAGAAAAAAAAATAAAAAATCATCATATGGTAGAGTTTAAGACCTAACTCACGAAAAAAATATATATGGGATTTCCCACTTGTCCCATAGAAACTTTTCTATATGTAGACTAAGACAAGATAAAAAAAAAAAAAAGTGAGTGCAAATGCTTCTATGGGGAATTTCCCACTTGTCTCATGGAGGCTTTCCACATGTGAGATTTAGAGATGAAAAAGAAGCTATATGGGGAAAGCTACTGATAAGTCTTCATTATCATGAGTAAATAATTAGTAAATAATATAATTTTAGCCTTAACTCATGATAAATAGACTTATATTTGTGTTAAAGTGTGAAAAGTGGTTTTCAGTTGATTAACGTGAATTTTTGGGTAATTATGTGATTTTATACGATTTTTACAGTCTTACTTTTGAGATAAATGAAGAACAAGAAATAAAAATAAAAATATTGCAAAATGGGGGGACCCGCCGGCCAGCCGGGCCCGCAAGCGGGTCGGAAGCGCAGTCGGGAGTAGCCGCGAGCAGGGACTCGAGCGGCTTAGCTTGGACCGATAGGGGCACGTGTGCGCCACTCCCCTTCCACGTCACCGGTGGCCAGCCGGCTGTGGGGCAAGGAGTGGTCGTACATGCGAGAGAAGTGACTTTGCTTCTGAAGCTAACATTACTATATATTCGCCCGAAAAATCGGCGCACAACCGATGTGGGACTAAACCCGCGTCACACCTTCCTCACAGGCGGGCGACCGGCACGGGTTCGAATCCTCCCAGAGTCAAAATTCATATCTTTTTATCTGATTATCGCGACTTTCTTGCAGATCGCCGGTGAAGGATTAAGCAACCAGAATCGCTGGATCATCAGCGAAAATCTCGTCAACACGATTCACGGAGCATTGCTACTAAAATTGCTGAATGATTCGCGATAAAAGGATCGTGAATCCATCGAGTAAATCATCTCCGATTGATTGACGAACAAGCCGTCGTCGGGAAGAGAACGATCCGCCGGGAGACGAGTCGCCACCTCTTGAGAGCGTACCAGATGCGATGAAGAGCCTCCTCTTGCTGCGCGGACTTGAGGATGAAGCTCCCTGACACGCGCCCCACCTCCATCCAGCTCCTCTCCATCGGGTGACAGCCGCCGGAGAGCCGCAAAGTTGCCGTTTTTCCGCTCCGCCAGGTGACAGCCGCCGGAGACGATTCGACGACCCACTTCATTGATCTCTAGACTTCGCGAGAAGATCTAGAGATTGCCCATGTCGTCTTTGTCCAAAGAGAGCCTTCGAGGCCGTGGGCACTGCACGACGATCCTCCCGAACGCTCAGGATTCCGGTGCATCGCCGACGCATCGCCGACGCATCGCCGTCGCGACGCCGGAACTCTGTTTTCCTGCTTTCAATTTACTTTACACTTCATTTAGTGATAATTTTTGTGTTTTTAAGTTACGAAAATATACTTTGTTCAATTACGATTCTTCCGGCTTTTACAGATCTTAATTTGATTAATTAAATCATCTGTAATCGTTTACACAAGAATCGTCGGGCGGAACTCTGTTTCCGCCCGATTCGCGTTCGTTGGGCGCTGATGTCATCTTGACGTCCGCGTCCTTATTTCCTTTTTTTTTCGTGAATTTTAAATATATTTCCTTCTTATTTCCTAGTATAAAATTCATAGAAAATCGTATTCATTGAGAAAAATTCTGAATAATTACCAGATATTATATTACATCCCTGTGATCGACCTGGAAAATTACCGCTATTTTTGGAATTTTTATTGAATTATAATTGATATATTTATTTAGAAATACTTCTAAATATCCGAAAATTCGTATTTTCTAGTTTTATAAATTTTGTATTTGCGTGATTTAATATACAACGACTGAGTCACGTCAGCTACCTACTTATGATGTTTATAATAATAATAATAATAAAAAAGAAACAAATGGAAAATGCTACTTGGGTCTAGAGAGAAGGTTGAAGATAGTTTGAAAACTTGAGTAAACTTCGGATCATTTAATTAATGATTTCTGAAAATGAAAGATGTTGAAGTTTATGCATTGAAGAGAATGAAAGTTAAGATGAATATTTTTTGAAATAGCTCATTTGGATATAGAAACATTTTTTATTTTTGATCTTGTAGGAAACTATTTCGAATCACATGAACATCTGAATATTTATTTGAATGCCATCTCTACTGGGAAAAATGAGAAAGTAAATAATTCATATAAAAGAATTAATAAATAACTTTAACTTTGTAAGTCTTTTGCTTATTGCTAGGGACTAGTAAATTTCAGTTCCCTAAAATATTGTGTATTAAATCAGAAAGAAAATAAGAAAGAGAATAAGGAAGAGAACATATCAATTGTGATACATCAGCTGCATATGTGGACAAAAGGTGAAGAAACAATGATGATTTAGATCTCATCAAGACACGAAACTATTATATTTTTGGCTAGGAAATTCTAGTTAAATTTTAATGGAAATGAACATGAGAAATATGGAGATTTGAACTTTGGAAGGTTCAAACATCATTATCATACATTGTGGAAAATGATAGGTTTTTAAATAGGTATTTGAAATGTTGGTGCTTCAATAAAATAAGAAAATATGCATAGGATGAGTATTATTATACTTATTTTATTTATAGTATGAGACTAACTCCACTTGACTTTTATGCAGTCAAGTGATGATTCTCTCATATTTTCTTGATAATTATTTGATTGGAAGGACTTAGGTGAGCTCTTATTATGAGTTAGAAGTAATGGAAGAAGCCCAAGTCTTTAACCCAAGTCTTATGGAGAGGACATGCCTAATATATTTATGGGCTCAAGAGAGGGTGTCACTTTGGCTTAGCCCATTTGGACTTAAAAGGGTTATCAAGAGATAAGATCTAGGCTGTCCATTTTAGGGCATCTTAAGATGAGATTAAGAGAAGGATTAGAGTGCCGCCCTCATGAAATGATTTGGACCGTCCACTAAGAGAATCGATTATTAATCTTAACCGTTCATTAGAGGGGCCTAACTCTTGAGAGGATTAAGGCATTTCACCCCCCTCTTGGAGGGTGCTTTTTGACTCTTTCTCTAGCAGTGGATAGCTGAAGGAAATAGAAGGGAAACCAAGGCCTGATCACCGACATTCTCGTGCCCAGGATCATTGTGGAGAAGAGATTACTTGGAGCGCATCAGGATCATTATGGATCGAGCATCACTTGGCCTAGGACTAGCACACAATGAGGTTTGTATAAGATCTAGATTTAGGGCATCTTTGTAATCCTCTTTGTGGATAGATTAACTTTTCATTCAAACTAGTTTTATCATTTATTCTATCATTCTATTGTGTTAGATCTATTCTCTCTCTTTTGCTAGGCTTTCTATAACTCTTGTCTTCACCTTTTTACATTTAATTCTGCCCTCTATAATTGCATGTATATATATATCTACATAATAAATAAAATAAGTAAAATTCATACTCCCATTACCCACATTCCCTGAGGATTGACCTTTACTTATCTTAAATACAAGAGTTAAGTTTTATAAATATTATTTGCATGAACTTGGTTGCATCACGACGACATATTTAACCTCTAATTTGAGTTCATCAAAATCTCTAGGTTGGAAGTAGTGTGCAAAGAAATTCATATAAAAAGTCTGATGTTCTTGGCAAGATGATATCAAGAGGTCTTATTGAATCACACATCTATCAATCAATAACTATAGACTCATTATATTACATTGTTCATAGATCAAACAAAAGAGAGTATGAATTTGTCTAGTCTTATATGTCAATCTAGAATTCTTATCAGCTTGAGAAGAAAAGTTGTAGAAATGCTCTGATTTAGTGGAGGATAGAAATAATTTTTAATGGCAGCTAGGCAATTTATTAGAAGACACAAGTATAGAGAAAATACTAAGATTTCAAGAATGAAAATTGGACAAATTTGAATTCTGAAAAAATTATTAGAATCTATTATACATATAAATTTAAAATATTTCTGGATCCTAATTCTAAAATAAATTTTATTTATTTCAAGGGTCCCTTTAGATAGAAGAAGTTCTATGATACCTTGATAGTGGATGTGCAAAAGACAATTAGAAAGAGTAGGTGGTTTACCTCATTTGTTGAAAAAAGGAAAAATCATATTATATGAAACTATATAATTAAATGAACCTACACTGACTAAGAAAATAATATTTTGAAGTTCTAGTACAATTTAATTAGCATTAATCAACTATGTGATACTAGAATAAAATTTTAATTTGAAGTCAATTGTTATTGTATTTTGTATGCTAAAGAAAATAATGTTCTTCTTATTGCTACTTATGATGCTTGAGTTATCAGGAATGAGCATGAGTTTAGTTGAATATAAATTCAGAAATAACTCAAAATTATAATGTCAAATATCTGAAAAGGAATTCAAAGAATGGTATTGTTACTCATAATGTTCAATTTCATTATTTAGTTTATTTTACCACTTGAAATTATTACCTTGTATATTTTTGTGAAAATTATTAGTATTTATATAACTGTCATTATTAGCAAATTATGATTGACACATCAAAATAAATAAGAGTATCTGAAGCACAAATATTAGATCATTACTTTTGAATGATTTTACATATTGAATCAACTGATTAAAATATCATTCCTCTTGCCACGCAAGATTTTTTTTAATATCAACAAATATTATTTTTTGATATTTAACTTATAAATATTAATTTACTATTCTAACTTTTAATTTACTATTGAAATTAAAAATTTTAACTTAATTTTTTGAATTTGAAGTCGAATTTCATATCTTATTACAATGCTACATATTAGAAATCAAATTATGAATTTGCATATTGATATAAATGCTCGTCTTTATATTAAATCTAACATTACATCAAAATTTTGAAAGCATAGAAAAATTATCCTTGCAACCTGTTTTCATTGATTTTTCATTGCCAAGATGAGGGAGATTGTTGGAGCATTAGTTGCATAATGTTTTGATGATGATAAGCAACCCTAAGATCACGTCAAAAATCAAAGTATACTTATTTTTCATGTAATTAGGGTCCAAGTTTACCCAAGTTAAAAACTTAGGATCCAATAAATTCAACCCCCTCTATTTGATCTAAGTATGGAAAAAGGACACATGGCACCAAAAAAAAACTCAACCTACGCAAATTTAAGTTTATAAACTTAAATCTAATAGTACTTAGATTAGCCGCTGAAGATATTGGAGAATTAATTAAATAATGATAAATACACAAAATAATGATAAATAGATGAAATTGTGGTGCTCATTTAATACATATTATTATACATCAAAGTTCTATTAGATAGGGGAAGGAAATTAATCAAGTGTAAAATCAGAAAAATCTAAGCAATAATATTAAATATCCAAATGACAATCGTAAGAAGGAATTTACTCATGCTTTTGAATTAAAGAATCTAGATAGATTTACTACTCAAAATTATTACTTTCTTCATCACATTGGAAGTTTTAATATTTACAAAAGTTGCCGCTGATGGAAAGTAATAATTAATGCATGAGAATTAGTAAGAATGCTTGAACTTAAATAGTGGTATGAAACCTTATCCTGTATACTAAATGTCTCAATGTTGAACTAATTCATTAAATATAAATTATTGAAGTTAGAGCTCATGATTTTACGAATATTGATAAATATTATTATTATTATTTTTGAAATAGCATAAGTCGTAGAAGTAATAATGATTCTCAATGAAATTTTATTTTAATGTGTCTACTTCATATTTGTCATTAATTTGATGTAATTTAGAATAAATTTTATAATTATTAATTTATTTAATATATTCTTTTTTCTAGTTTATGTATAATAAATTATTACTAAAGGGTGAACTTGATTTAAAGGTTAAATATGTCGTCATAATGCAACTAAGTTCCTACAAATAATATTTATAGGGCCTCAATCTTTTGTTTAGGATAAGTAAGGGTTGATCCTCAAAGAGTGTGGGTAATAAGAATAAGAATTTTCCTTATCTTATTTCTTATATATATATATACTTGAGATCGTGAAGGGCGAAATTCATCTAACAAGGGTAAAGACAAAAGAAAGAAAAAGTGTAGCAAATGAGAGAGAATAAATCTAATATAATGAAATGATAGAATAAATGATAAAACTAGTTCGAACTAAGAGTTAATCTATTTATGGAGAAGATTACAAGGACGTCTCAAATCTAGATCTTGTATTGACCTTGTTGTGCGTCAGTCTTAAGCTAAGTGGTGCTTAGTCTACGACAATTTTGATGTGCTTTAGAAAGTCCTCTCCTCTATGATGATCATAATTATTAAGAAAAAGATAATAAAAAGGAGGGGGGGCTTTAAGCACATCAAAATTTTGATGGACTTTAAGAAAAAGAAAATAAAATAAAAAAATATAAAGGAGGGGAGGCAGACCTGCCGGTCAATTTGGCTCACAAGCAAATTGGAAGTGCAGTCAGCAGCTATAGACCGATCGGGGCACATGTGCATCACCGCCCTTCCACGTCACTGGTGGCCAGTTGGGCATGGGGTGAGGAGTGGTCGTACACATGCGAGAAAGAGACTAATTGATTCCCAAACCTTGTATTACTATATTTCGTCCCAAAATTCAACATATAACCGATGTGAGATTAAACCCTAGTCACACTTTCCCCAAAATGATTTTATGATTTTAATATCAAAAATATCTCTTATTTATAACAACGAGATATCATGATGATGTCACTATATAAAGATATTTGAGAACTTATTCTCTCTCTCTCATGTAGGCAGGCGACCAGCGAGTTTGAATTCTACTAGAGTCAAAACTTGTATTTTTAATTTGATTAAATCATTATTTTCTTGTAGATCGCTACTGAAGGATTAAGCTGCCAAAATTGCTTAATCAATCAGCAAAAATCTCATCAACGTGATTCACAGAGCATCGTTACTAAAATTACAAAATGATTTGTAATAAAAGGATCATAAATCTATCGAGTAAATCATCTCTAATTGATTGACAAACAAGTTGTCGTCGCGAAGAGGACGATCTGTTAAGAGACAAGTCACCACCTCCTATGAGCGTATCAAATGTGATGAAGAGCCTCTTTCAAGTGACTCAGTGGTTGTATAGTAAATCATGTAAATCTAAAATTTATAAAACTAGAATATACCAATTTTAGGATATTTAGAAGTATTTCTGAAAAATTAAATCAATTATAATTCAATAAAATTTCCCAAAAATATGGTATTTTTCAAGTTGATCATAAGGATGGAAAATAATATCTTGAAATATTTCAGATTTTTCTACAAAGAATATGATTTTTTATAAATTTTAGACTAAGAAATAAAAATAAAATATATTAAAAATTCACAACAAAGGAAAATAAGGGGTGCAGACCTTAAGATGACGTTAGCACCCAACGAACATGAATCGTGTGGAAACAGAGTTCTACTTGGTAATTCTTTTGTAAGTGATTACAGATGATTTAATTTGTCAAATTAAGATGTGTAAAAGCTAGAAGAATCGTAATTGAATGAAGAATAGTTTGATAAATTTAAATCACACAAATTATCATTAAATAAAATAAAAATTAAGTTGAAAATATTTTTCTTATTTTTATCTTGTTTTGTAAGGCTCTCATTCATTAGTAAATACTTTCTAATTTTTTTCATCTAAATTGATATTCTAATTTCGCTACTCACCCGTTTCTTAATGTATTTTTTTCTGCATAATTTTCCCTTGCTCTATTTTATCTTCCATACATATTTGTTCAATTTGTGAGGAGTGAAATATTTCAATCTTAGACTTAATTCTAATGGGCTGTAGGTTTTGAAGGATGGAAGAATTGTCTACTTTAATCTCAGATCTAATGAATTCATTAAAATTCAAATTTTCTCCTCTAAAATTATCTTTATATTCATATTCATTATTTTCGTTTCTCCCTATTAGTTGAATCAACTCTTTTTCTAGCTTTTCATTTCTCAACTCATCAAATTCTTCATCTTCTGAAAGCTATCTTCTAATTTTGGTATATGATATACATCATCATCCTCACTACCAACATGCATCGCTGTAAAATACTAATTAGATTTATTAATTTTGTCTCCTACATCTCTCAAATCAATTGGCTTTTACTCACCTGAAATCTATTTTTCCTCATTTCTATCCTTACTCCCTTCTACTAAATTTTGATGATTTTTTTCATGACTAGTTGTTGTTTCTTCATTTAGGGACTCTTTCTTTTCATCATCATTACTATATTCATTCATCCATTGTGAGTAATAAATGTTTTTATTCAAATTTTCTAGTACTATATTTTCAACTTTAATATTCTCATTTACTTTTAATGGCTCATTTATTTTCTTTAATAATTGGAAATAAGGATCAGGTAAAATATTCTCACTCAATGTATTCATTGTCCTAAAATTTTCATTTCATGGTTTTTTTCTTAAATTTATCTAGCTAGACTCTCCTTACTGAAATCCTACTATTAGACAATTTCTTGAATTTTCTATGGGCTGACTAGGTGGCTGTCCCTTTTCTCTTTTTTTTTCAAAAGCTTTTATAAATTATTTTCACTAAAATATCATTTAGTTCATTAGTTGCTACATCATTTGACTCATTTGCTGCATCATATCCATAAAATCAGGTTGGGTTTGAGAGGGCTGATTTTTCTGAAATTTATGTTCCTATTTTGGACGAAATTCAAAATTTAAATTGGGTCTAAGTGCTTTTGAATTTTGAATATTATTTGGATCTCTCTACGAAAAATTATTCTGCTAATTAAGATTATAAGAATTAAAAAAATACTACCTATTTTGACTAAAATCATGGGGTACTTGCACTTGCCCTTGCCTAAGTTAAAATGATTGACCAAAATTATAATATTGAAATTCGAAATGATCATTTTCATGATATATAGGATAGGTACCATATGCATTAAATTGAGGGTTAGGAGGCTTTCTAATATTGTCATAAATAAATCAAGTTTTTCTAATCTTTTATTAATTTGAATAATCTCATTTCTTAAATTAGAATCATCATCATAATGTACCTCATAAATTTTTCTCTTCTTATCTCTATCACATAACTCAAAAGAGGCTTAATCTTTAGAATTTTTACTTAAATTCTCATAAAGGTTGTAAATCTCATTAGGGGTTTTCTCCATAAAAACTCCACATATAGAATCAACCATATTTCTATGTTGTTTTAATAATTCATCATAAAAAATTCTATTGAGCTCCCACTTAAGTATAGTATGATGAGGACAGTTTCAAAGCAAATCTTTGAATTTTTTTCATGACTTATGTAAAATTTCTCTTAGCCTTTGAGCAAAATTCTATATATGTTTTCTCATATTTTGAGTTTTTTCTATGGAATAAATTTTTCAAAGAAAGGCATATTCTAGTGTGGATAGCTAATTCTCTATCTAATGTAGATAACTAATAATTAGCTTTGTCCCTAAGTGTATGAGGAAATAATTTCATCTTAATAATTTTTGGTGTAACTTGAGGGAGATTAGCTAAATTACAGATCATATGAAAATTTTCTAAATACTAATGAGGTTCCTCTAAAGGTAATATATGAAAATTAGAGAGTATTTGGAAAATTTCTAGATTAATTTTGAATTTAATAGTGGGTGTTAATGGGACCCTATTTGGATGCTAAAGATCTATCAGAATTGATTTTTCTTTCGAGTTTTTGGTTTTGGACAAGATAGTATAAGAGTTTTCTAACCTTGGGTGTAAGGATCTTCTACCATGCATAAAAATCAATCAATTCAAGATTTTTTTTTTGATAATTATTCCCTTTCTTCAATTTGCTCTAGTCCTCGTCTTGCTCCTCTTCATGCTCTTTTGTTTTTAAGTTTTTTGCAAGAAGAAATTAAAAATAAGAGTTTTTTTTTTGTACTCTAAGAGAAAAATCAAAAAATACCAAATATTATGTAATACATCTCTAGCAATGGCAGCAAGTTTGATGTGACTTAGTCGTTGTATAGTAAATCATGTAAATTTAAAATTTATAAAACTAGAAAAAACAATTTTCAGATATTTAGAAGTATCTCTGAAAAAATAAATCAATTCTAATTCAATAAAAATTTCCAAAAATATTGGTAATTTTCCAAGTTGATCACAGGGATGTAAAATAATATTTGGAAATATTTTAGAATTGTTCACAAAAATATAACTTTTTATTAAGTTTAGACTAAGAACTAAAAATAAAATATATTTAAAATTCACAAAAAGGGAAATAAGGGCTGCAGATGTCAAGCTGATGTTGGTGGTCGACGAATGAGAATGAGGTAGAAACAGAGTTTCATTCGATGATTTTTACGTAAGTGATTATAGATGATTTAATTGGTCAAATTAAGATATGTAAAAATAAGAAGAATCATAATTGTATGGAGAATAGTTTGGTAAATTTAAATCACAAAAATTATCACTAAATGAAGTAAAAATTAAGTTAAAAGTAGAAAAGATAGAGTTCTGCTCTCGTGATAGCAATTGTCGGAATTCCATATTTAGGAGGGTCATTGATAAGTCTTCATTATCACGAGTTAATAATTAATAAATAATATAATTTTAGCCTTAACTCATGATGAATAGACTTATGTTTGTGTTGAATTGTGAAAAGTGATTTTAGTTCATTAATGTGATTTTTTGGCTAATTATGTAATTTTATAAAAGAAATATGATTTTTATAATGTTATTTTTGAGATAAATAAAGAAAAATAAAATAAAATAAAAAAATAGAAAAAGGGTGGAGACTCACTGGCCAGCCGAGCCCACAAGCAACTCGGAAGCACAGTCAGGGCGTAGTTGTGAGTAGGGACTTGAGCAACCATGGACCATGGGGGCACGTGCGTGCCACTCCCCTACCACGTCACAAGTGGCCAACTAGTTGTGGGGCAAGGAGTGATCGTACACACGCGAGAAAAGGACTCATTGATTCCCAAATCTTACGTTATCATATATCTATCTCAACACTCAACGTACAAGCGATGTGAGACTAAACCGGTGGTCACACCTACCTAGGAATGATTTTATGATTTTAATACTAAAAATATCCCTTATTTATAACAACGAAATATCATGATGATGTCATTGTATAAAGGTATTCGAGAACTTATTCCCTCTCTCATGTAGGCTAGCAATTAGTGTGGATTCGAATCCTACTAGAGCCAAAAGTCATACTTTTATCTAATTAAATCATGACTTTCCTCTAGATCGCCAGTGAAGGATTAAGCTGCCATAGTTGCTTGATTATTGATAAAAAATCTTGTCAACACAATTCGCAGAGCATTGTTACTAAAATTGCTGAATGATTCGTAATAAAAGGATTGTGAATCTATCGAGTAAATCATCTCTAATTGTTTGATGAGTATGCCATCGTCGGGAAGAGGATGATCCACGAAAAGATAAGTCACCACCTCTTGAGAGCATACCAGATGTGATGAAGAGCCTCTTCTTGTTGCGTGAATTTGAAGATGAAGCTCCTTGACACACGCCCCACCTCTATCCAGCTCCTCTCTGCTGGGTGACAGCCGCTGGAGACGATTCGATGACCCATTTTATTGATCTTTAGACTTCACAAGAAGATCTAGAGATTGTCCACGTTGTCGTTGTCTGAGGAGAGCTTTCAAGGATGTGGATTGATAAGTCTTCATTATCATGAGTTAATAATTAGTAAATAATATAGTTTTAGTCTTAACTCATGATAAATAGACTTATATTTGTGTTAAAGTTTAAAAAGTGGTTTTTAGTTGATTAATGTGAATTTTTGGATAATTATGTGATTTTATACGAATTTATATGATTTTTACAGTCTTGCTTTTGAGATAAATGAAGAAAAAGAAATAAAAAATAAAAATAAGACAAAATGAGGGGGACTTGCCGGCCAATCAGGCTTGCAAGCGGGTCGGAAGCTCAGTCGGGGAGTAGCCGCGAGCAGGGGCTTGAGCGGCTTGGACCGATAGGGGCACGTGTGCGCCACTCCCCTTCCACGTCACCGGTGGCTAGCCGACTGTGGGGTAAGGAGTGGTGGTACACGCGCGAGAAAGGGACTTGCTTAGAGATGTAACGTTACTATATATTCGCCCGAAAATTCGGCACACAACCGATGTGGGACTAAACCCGCGTCACCTTCCTAGAGCGGGCGGGCAACCAGTGCGGGTTCGAATCCTCCTAGAGCCAAAATTCATTTTTTATCTGATTATCACGACTTTCCTACAGATCGCTGGTGAAGGATTAAGCAACTAGAATCGTTGGATCATCGGTGAAAATCTCGTCAACACGATTCGCAGAGCATTGTTACTAAAATTGCTGAACGATTCATGATAAAAGGATCGCAAATCCATCAAGTAAAGCATCTCCGATTGATCGACGAACAAGACGTCGTCGTGAAGAGGACGATCCATCAGGAGACAAGTTGCCACCTCCTGAGAGCATACCAGATGTGAGGAAGAGCCTCCTTGATAAGTCTTCATTATCATGAGTTAATAATTAATAAATAATATAGTTTTAGCCTTAACTCATGATAAATAGACTTATATTTGTGTTAAAGTGTGAAAAGTGGTTTTCAGTTGATTAACGTAAATTTTTGGGTAATTATGTGATTTTATATGATTTTTACAATCTTACTTTTGAGATAAATAAAGAACAAGAAATAAAAATAAAAATATTGCAAAATGGGGGACTCGCCGGCCAGCCGGGCCTACAAGCGGGTCGGAAGCTCAGTCGGGGAGTAGCCGCGAGCAGGGGCTCGAGCGGCTTGGACCGATGGGGGCACGTGTGCGCCACTCCCCTTCCACGTCACCAGTGGCCAGCTGGCTGTGGGTCAAGGAGTGGTCGTACACGCGAGAAAAGGGACTTTGCTTAGAAAGCTAACATTACTATATATTCGCCTGAAAAATCGGCGCACAACCAATGTGGGACTAAACCCGCGTCACACCTTCCTCAGAAGGGGCGAACAACCGGCGCGGGTTCGAATCCTCCAGAGTCAAAAGTCATATATTTTTATCTGATTATCGCGACTTTCCTGCAGATCGCTAGTGAAGGATTAAGCAACCAGAATCGCTGGATCATCGGCGAAAATCTCGTCAACGCGATTTGCGGAGCATTGCTACTAAAATTGCTGAACGATTCGCGATAAAAGGATTGCAAATCCATCGAGTAAATCATCTCTCGATTGATCGACGAACAAGCCGTCGTCGGGAAGAGGACGATCTGTCGGGAGACGAGTCACCACCTCCTGAGAGCGTACTAGATGCGATGAAGAGCCTCCTCTTGCTGCGCAGACCTGAGGATGAAGCTCCTTGACACGTGCCCCACCTCCATCCAGCTCCTCTCCGTCAGGTGACAGCTGCTGGAGAGCCGCAAAGTCGCCATTTTTCCACTCCGCCGGGTGACAGCCGCCGGAGACGACTCGACGACCCATTTCATTAATCTCTAGACTTCGCGAGAAGATCTAGAGATTGCCCACGTCATCTTTGTCCAAGGAGAGCCTTCGAGGCCATGGACACTGCACGACGATCCTCCCGAACGCTCAGGATTCCGGTGCATCGCCGACGCATCACCGTCGCGACGCTGAAACTCTATTTTCCTGCTTTCAACTTACTTTACGCTTCATTTAGTGATAGTTTTTGTGATTTTAATTTACCAAAATATACTTTGTTCTATTACGATTCTTCCGGCTTTTACTGATCTTAATTTGATTAATTAAATCATCTGTAATCGCTTACGTAAGAATCGCCGGGCGGAACTCTGTTTCTGCTCGATTCGCGTTCGCCGGGCGCTGACGTCATCCTAACGTCCATACCCTTATTTCCCTTTTTCGTGAATTTTAAATATATTTCCTTTTCATTTCCTAATATACAATTCATAGAAAATCGTATTCATTGAGGAAAATTCTGAATAATTCCCATATATTATAGTACATCCCTGTGATCGACCTAGAAAATTACTGCTATTTTTAGAAGTTTTATTGAATTATAATTGATATATTTGTTCAGAAATACTTTTAAATATCTGAAAAATCGTATTTTCTAGTTTTATAAATTTTAGATTTGCGTGATTTAATATACAACGACTGAGTCACGTCACTCCTCTTGCTGCATAGACTTGAGGATGAAGCTCCCTGTTACGCACCGCACCTCCATCCAGCTCCTCTCCATCAGGTGACAGCCACTGGAGAGCCGTAAAGTCTCCATTTTTCTGCTCCGTCGAGTGACAGTCGTCAGAGATGATTCGACGACCCCTTTCATTGATCTCTAGAATTCACAAGGAGATCTAGAAATTGCCCACGTCGTCTTTGTCTAAGGAGAGCCTTCAAGGCCGTGGACACTGCACGATGATTCTCCCGAATGCTCAGGATTCTGGTGCATTGCCGACGCGACGTTGGAACTCTATTTTCCTGCTTTCAACTTAATTTTCGTTACATTTAGTGAGAATTTGTTGATTTTAAATTTACCAATATATACTTCATTTCATTACGATTCTTTTGGCTTTTACAGATCTTAGTTTTATCAATTTAATCGTCTGTAACCGCTTATGTAAGAATCGCCAGGCGGAACTCTATTTCCACCCGATTCGCGTTCGCTGGGCACTGACGTCTGCACCCTTATTTCTTTTTTCTGTGAATTTTAAATATATTTCCTTTTCATTTCCTAGTATAAAATTTATAGAAAATAGTATTCTTTGCAGAAAATTCTAAATAATTACCAGATATTATATTACATCCCTGTGATCGACCTGGAAAATTAGTGTTATTTTTGGAAGTTTTATTGAATTATAATTGATATATTTATTCAAAAATACTTTTAAATATCAAAAAATTTGTATTTTCTAGTTTTATAAATTTTAAATTTGCATGATTTACTATACAACGACTAAGTCACATCATGGACACTACACGACAATCTTCTTGAAGGCTCAAGATTCTGGTGCATCGCCGGCACATCACTGCCGCGATGTCAAAACTCTATTTTCTTACTTTCAACTTAAATTTTCGTTTTCATTTTGAGATAAATTATGTGATTTAAAATTTCCAATCTACTATTCATTTAATTAGGATTCTTTCAGCTCTTATAGATCTTAATTTGACTAATTAAATTGTCTATAATCACCTATGTGAGATTCATCGGGTGGAACTCTATATCTACCCGATTTACGTTTGTCGGGTTCTGACGTCATCTTGACATCCACACCCTTATTTCCCTTTTTTGTGAATTTTAAATATATTTCATTTTTATTTTTTAGTCTAAAATTGATAAAAAAGTTATAAAATTATCTGATATTATATTACATCCCTATGATCAACTTGGAAAATTTTTATTATTTTTGAAACTTTTATTGAAATATAATTGATAGATTTATTCAAAAGTATTTCTAAATGTTAAAAAATTAATATTTTCTAGTTTTATAATTTTTAAATTTGAGTGATTTATGATACAATGACTAAGTCACGTCAAATTTTGGCACTATTGCTGGGATGCATTACATAATATTTGGTATTTTTCTATTTTTCTCTTAGAGTACACAAAAAAATTGAACTCTTGTTTTTATTTTCTTCTTACAGAAAAATAAAAAAAAATAGAGAACGAAGATCAACAAGACATGAACTAGAGCATATTGAAGGAGGATAACATTTATTAAACTTTTTCCTCAAATTTTTTCATTTTTATGCATGGTAGAAGATCTTTACATCTAAGGCTAGAAAATTCTTCCACTACTTTATCCAAAGCCAAAAATTCGAAATAAAAATCAATTTTGATGGATCCTGAAGGTAGTATAGGTCAAATTGAGAGTAATCCCATGGCTATGAAAAGTTATTATATCCTTGATTTAGACCAACAAGCATCTAATATTAAAGTTTCATTATCACTCACTATTAAATTTGAAATAAATCTAGAAAATTTTCAAATGCTCCTTAATTTTCATGGATTGCCTTTAGAGGAACCTCACCAGCATTTAGAAAAATTTCATATGATCTTTAATTTAGTTAATCTCTCTCAAATTACACAAGAAATTATTAAGATGAAATTATTTTCTCATACACTTAGGGACAAAGCTAATTGTTGGCTATCCACATTAGATAGAGAATTAACTAGCTAGAAAGACATAGAACAAGTATTTCTTCGAAAATTTTATCCCTTAAGAAAAACTCAAAATATGACAAAACATATATAGAGTTTTTTCCAAAGGCTAGGAGAAACTTTGCATGAGACATGGAAAAAATTTAAAGATTTACTTCGGAAGTGTCCTCATCATGTTGTATTCAAGTGACAGCTCAATAGAAGTTTTTATGATGAATTATTAAAACAACATAGAAATATGGTTGATTTTATATGTGGAAGAGCTTTTATGGAGAAAATTTTGGATGAGATTTACAGCTTTTATGAGAATTTAAGTAAAAATTCTAGAGATCAAGCCACTTTTGAGTTATATGATATGGATAAAAAGAGAGGAATTTATGAATTGTATTATGATGATGATTCTAATTTAAAAAATGAGGTTAATTAGATTAATCAAAGATTAAAAAAACTTGATTTACTTATTGACAATATTAGAAAGCCTCCTAACCTTCAACATAATACATATAGTACTTATTCTATGTATGATGAAAATGATCATTCCGAATTTCAATGTTATAATTTCGATCAATCATTTCAGCTTAGGCAAGAGCAAGTGTAAGTACCCTATGATTTTAGTAAAGATAGGAAATATTTTTCTAATTTTTATAATTTTAATTAGAGGAATAATATTTCGTGGAGAGACCCAAATAATATTCAAAATTCAAAAATACTTAGACCCGATTCAAAGTCTGAATTTCGTCTAAAATAGGAACACAGATTTTAGAAAAATCAATGCTCTCAAATCCAACCTGATTTTATAAATATGATGTAGCAAATGAGCTAAATGGTGCAGCAAACAATAAACCAAATGATGTTGTAGTAAAAATAATTTATAGAGGTTTTTGAGAATAAGAGAGAAGAGGGACAACCACTTAGTCAGCCCATAGAAAATTCAGGAAACTATCAAATAGTAGGATTTCAGTAAAAAAAGTTTAGCTAAAAATTTTTAGAAAAAAACTCACAAAATAAACATATTAAAATAGTGGACTGAAAATATAGTAGCAGAAAATTTGAATAAAATCATTTACTACTCACAATTGATGAATGAATATAGTGAGGATGATGAGGAGAAAGAGTCCTTAGATGAAGAAATAACAGTTGCTCATGAATTTTTTTTCTAAATTTTAGTAGAAAGAAGTAAGGACAAAAATGAAAAAAAACAGATTTCAGGTGAGGAAAAACTAGTTAATTTGGAAGATGTAGGAGATGAAATTAATAAATTTAATCAGTATTTTACACCCATAGATGATGTTAGTGAGGATGATGATGTATATCATATGCCGAAATTAGAAGATAGCTTTTAGGAAGATGAAAAATTTGATGAGTTCAAAAACAAAAAGTTAGAAAAAGAGTTGATTCAATTAATGGGAAGAAATGAAAATAATGGATATGAATATAGAGATAAATTTGGAGGAGAAAATTTGAATTTTGATGAATTCATTTGATCTGACATTAAAGTAGACAATCCTTCCATTCTTCAAAACCCACAGCCTATTAGAATTATGTCTAAGCTTTAAATATTTCACTCCTCACAAACTGAACAAATATGTAGGGAAGATAAAATAGAGTAGGGGAAGATTATCTAGATAAAAGAATACATTATGAAATGGGTGAATGTAAGAATTAGAGATATCAATTTAAATAAAAAAAATTAGATTGGGTAAGAGCTAATTTGAAAATTATATGGCTTGATCACATTTTATGGTCTATTAATGAAAAGTAATTACTAATGAATAAGAGCCTTAGAAAATGAGATAAAAATGAGAAAAGGTTCTTTTAATAGAAATATTATTTTGTGAAAGTTTTGTTAATTTCTATTTTTATTGGCTAAAAGTATGTCAAGGTATATATATGAAGCACATGAATTTATGTTAAATCTGTAAAAGAAGATCATGAAACTTACCTTGGGATACAAATATATTTTGATAGCCATAGATCATCTTATATGATCTAAGAGCTGTCCAGTTGAAGACATTGAATTCAGTGTTGCATGGGAGGCAACCTATGGATTTTTTTTCATTCAGTTTTTTTGTAAAGTTCTATTTTTCTTAGAATTTTATAATATTCGATTCTACATTTGTTTTTTTTTCAAAAAAGTATAGGAAGAGAAGTGTAAGATGAAGTAGAAAATTAAAAAATAGGTTGAGGTGATATCTTTTTGAGCTTTATCATTTATGAAAATATTTTTAGTGCTTAACTTTGCATATATGCATGGTTCACTTGAAAATTATAGTTTTCTATATATTCTGTTTTGAATTTTTCTATGTCATTGAGGACAATGTATTATTTTAAGTTGGGAGGTGAAGTATTAAGTCTTAATTTATGATGTAGAATGATTAAGAACATGGGTTTGCATTTGTTTTCATGCTCACTTGGAAAAGTAATGAAAAAAAATTCAGAAAAATTACAACATCTGTTTCTGGTTTTCTATCAAGAATAGCAAAAAATAATTTACAAACTGTAAAAAATAGTAGAGAAAAAACAGTCCAAAATTTGAAATTCTAGAGACCTTTTTCTCATATTTTAATCCCCTAAAAATATATTTCTCAAATTCAAAATTACAACTATAAAGAGGATAGTTTTGATTTATTTTTGACAAATTCGTCATTGTTGTAAATAGAACTGAAAACATAAAACAGAACCGTGAGAATTATCTAATTGACAAATTTCTTACATCATATTGAATACACAAAAATTAAATCAATTAGATTGATTGATACCAAAAGATACTAGGAAGATTATTATTGAGTTAAAAGAATGATTTAGTAGCATGAAATGTTAGAATACTCCTTAGATACATGATAGATAACATGGATTTGATTTTATAGATTTTCACTTCATGATCTTGATGGAGAGTATTTATTTGATGTGAAAATTTGATTGATCATTTGAGTTTAATGAAGATTTTTACACCTTGATCTATAGGACTTGTGAAGAGAAATCACTTATTTTAGAATTTAAAAAAAAGAGCAATGTGAAAGATCTAAAAATGAAGAGTACATATGAAGGGTGCGAGACATCATTCACATTGTCGAAAGTCATCCATAGAAAAATACTTGCTGCAAAATAAGTGGATAATGTGAAAGCCCTGAAAATGAAGAGTACACATGGAGGGTGTGAGACATCATTCTTATTGTCAATTTTTTTATATAGGAAAAGCTACTTATCCACTAGAGAAAAAAATAGAAGAAATATAGTGCAAACTTTAAAAATCAAGTCATAGAAAAAGAAAAATGTAAGATCAATATTATTCTTAGATGAGTATTAATAATTGAAACATCTTGTGAATTATATCTATGAGTGAAGAAGTAATAAAGATGTGAATAGAAGAAGTGAAGTCTAGATTGTTCTTCGAAAGAGTGATTAAATATTTGAGCACTTGACATCATTCTTAAATACTTGATATAAGAGTCCAAAGTGTCTAGAGGTTCATCATTTCTAATTGTATTTTTTTATGTATTGAAATATGATGGTTTTGAAATTTGTGAACACTTATTTTTGTAATTTCATTACTAAGGGACTATCAATGATTTAAGTTGGGGGTGTGATAAGTCTTCATTATCATGAGTTAATAATTAATAAGTAATATAGTTTTAGCCATAACTCATGATAAATAGACTTATATTTGTGTTAAATTGTGAAAAGTGTTTTTTAGTTGATTAATGTGATTTTATGTGAATTTATATGAGTTTTATAATCTTATTTTTGGGATAAATGAAGAAAAACAAAATAAAATAAAAAAAGAAAAAAAGGAGGGGACCTGCTAGCTAGCCGGGTCCACAAGTGGGTTGGAAATCTAGTTGAGGCACAATCGAGGCACAGTTGCAAGTAGGGATTTGAGCGGCTATGGACCGATGGGGACACGTGTGCACCACTCCTCTTCCACGTCATCAGTGGCCAGCTGGCTGTGGGGCAAGAAGTGATCGTACACACGTGAGAAAGGGACTCATTGATTCCCAAATCTTGCATTACCATATATTTATCTCAACACTCGGCATATAATCGATGTGGGACTAAACTGACAATCACACCTTCCCTGGAATGATTTTATGATTTTAATACTGAAAATACCCCTTATTTATAACAACAAGATATCATGATGATGTCACTATATAAGGGTATTCGAGAACTTATTCCCTCTCTCTCATGTAGGTGGGTGACCACTGTGGGTTAGAATCCTACCAGAGCCAAAAGTCATATTTTTATCTAATTAAATCGCGACTTTCCACCAGATCGCCAATGAAAGATTAAGCTGTCAAAATCACTTGATCATCAACAAAAATCTTGTCAATGCAATTTGCAAAGCATTGTTACTAAAATTGCTAAACGATTCACGATAAAAGGATTGCAAATCTATCAAGTAAATCATCTTTGATTGATCGACGAACAAGCCATCGTCAGGAAGAGGATGATCTGCTAGGAGATGAGTCGCCACCTCTTGAGAGTGTACCAGATGCAATGAAGAGCCTCCTCTTGTAGCGCGGTCTTGAGGATGAAGCTCCTTGACATGCGCCTCAACTCTATTGAGCTCTTCTCTATCAGGTGACAGCTGTTAGAGAGCTGCAAAGTCATTGTCTTTTCACTTTGTCAGGTGACAGCCACTGGAGATGATTCGACAACCCATTTCATTGATCTCTAGACTTCGCATGAAGATCTAGAGATTGCCCACGTCGTTGTTGTCCAAGGAAAGCCTTTGAGGCCATAGACCTACACGATAATCCTCCCCAATGCTCAGGATTCCGATGCATCACCGACACATCAGTGCTGCGATGCAAGAACTTTGTTTTTTTACTTTCAACCTAATTTTTGTTTTATTTAGAGATAATTTATGTGCTTTAAATTTTCTAAAATACTCTTCATTTAATTATGATTATTTCGACTTTTATAGATCTTAATTTGACCAATTAAATCATCTGTAATCACCTACATGAGATTCACCAGGTAGAACCCTATTTTCACCTGATTTGCATTCGTCGAGTGCTGACATCATCTTGACATTCGTACCCTTATTTCTCTTTTTTTTTAATTTTAAATTTATTTTATTTTCATTTCTCATATGGTTCTAAGTAGTTATTAGAATCATGAATCAATTTTAATAGTTTATAGGCCTAGATTCACCAATAATAATAATAATAATTTTAAATAGATATAGTGTCGAGCTAGGTCATCTCCTAAGGGAAGGCTTTTAAAAATCCTTTTATTCTTTAATTTAAATAATTACGAAATTTATTAGAAGATTTAACTTGGTATTCAAAGCAATAAATGAAATAAAATGGCAAATAAATATAAATATGATTTTAAAAATTAAATAAATTAAAATGAGTAAACTAAATATGCTTTGGATTGATAAGATAGAAGAGAAATAAGTAAATAAATGATTAAACCTAAGGAAATAAAATTATTTCACAGATCAAATAAGAAAATAATGAAAACTCTATTAAAAATCAAACTTACAACTCTTAGAATGCATGGCTTGATGTCGACCTCTGAGTAGCATTTCTCAATCTTACATCTAGTTCAACGGAATGGATTTAAGGTGAAAAGGGTAGAGGAGAACAATCGAAATCAACGATGCACTCTTCAGATTTTTATTTTTGCATGAGAAAGAAGAACAACGTTTTCTCTCAAGAACAACCCAAGAACAACTCTGAAAAAGCCTCCTTTCTCTCCTTCTTCCTCCTTTTTGTCCCCCAGATTTGAAATTGCATTTCTATTTTGACTTCCTATTTTTTTCTGTATTTTGCCAATTTTTCTCTGATTTTTCTGGCATTTTCCCCTTTTCTCATGTGGCAATAATTGATAGATTATCTATTTTACCAGATGATAATCGATATTTGAACATATACCCTTCTGTGCATGCGAGAGAATAATCGATATCGTCTATTTTACTAGACAATAATCGATATCTGTAAATATATCCTCCAAAGTGTGGTTTGATACTGTTGGATCCTCGTGTCGTCATTTTGCTCAAAGAGGGGTGACTTGGGCCCAATAATTGCCATTAGATCTCCATCGGGTTTCGCTCCTTTGGCGCATGCTTTATTAGGATCCTTGTGCATCAGATGCCACGATAGCCACCATTGGATTGGTGGCTACTTTTCGTGTGTTGATGGCTGTGACGTGGAGTCTCTTGGATCGTGGGAACTACTAGTGGTCGCCGTCGGATCTTGGAGCTACTTTTTCATATGACAGTGGTGGTGATGTGGCTTCATGGCGTGTGTCGGATCTGACCACTACTATGGTGCTATCGTCAGATCTGAAAAGAATATAAAGTGAATCCCATATCGGAAATGTTATGCGAGTGTTATCATATATAATAATGATGTCATCTAATTATATTTATTTTAATGCCTAAAATTTTCAGAAAAATTATATAAAATATATTTCAATTAATGATAAATATTTAGTAAAATAATATTTTATTTAAAAATAAAAATAAATGATAATTAAGCCTCAAGATATGAAATAAATTCTCATCAATTTTATTTTTATTCATAAAATATCAATTTAAATTAAGATTTAGAGAGGTTTATTTAAATAACAAATAAAATAGTTAACATGATAACTTGTGAAATATTTCTCAAATATACATTATTCTCTCTGATTTGATAATAGGTTAGCATATAATTTTCACAAGTTATTAGTTCAGACAAAACCAAGCCATCACCTCGGTGTTTCCAATTGCCTAAGAGGCAAACTAAACCTAGGCAATGATTTCTTTCTTCCTTTCAGTATTTATTTATCTATTTTTGTCATTTATTTATATTTTACTACAAGTTATTTCTATTTCACATATGCTTCAATTGAAATGAGTAGAACTAATTCAAAACTCGGTGAATGATCTTTGTTCTTTTTCTGAATCCTTTGAAACTCATTTGAGATCAACCTAAAATTGTTCTAACTTATTTTTCATTGATTTCTATAGTTAAATCTCGATGTATTTGTATTCTAAATGTTCTGTAAATAACAAGTATTTTTTTATTTTCAAACATGAAATAAACAAGATTAAAGGCTGATTAATGAGCACCAAATTGTTAAAACAAGGTGGAGACAATCACAACTGACCTCATGTCATGTGTGTGAATTCTCGAGCATACATTTGTCTGAAATAATGGTCATTGTGAAAACGGGTTGACCATATTTTTCTCTTTCTTTTATTATTGTCTTATTTCTCTATCTCCCTCTCTCATGAGACCTCTTCTTCTCTCTTTGTCCCTCATGAGATCTATCTCTCTTTCTCTCTCTCTATTGATCAATCTCTCTCTCTTTCTCTCCATCGATCAATCTCCTTCTCTCTTTCTCTCTCTTTTGTGAGACCTTTCTCTCTCTCCATCTCATGTGAGATTTCTCTCCATCTCTCTCTTTCTCTCTCTTTTGTGAGAGATCTCCTCTCTCTTTCGTAAGAGCTATCTCTACTCTCTTTTCCTCCTTTTATTCTTCTCACCTCAACCTTCTAGTTTATTATTTCTATTAAATGTTATTAAAATATTAAAAATCACTCTAAATATAAATTAAATTAATTTTTCAAGATTGATTAATCAATTTCTTATGTTCAACCTGAAACTTACATCTATACTAATATTTTATTAAATCTTAGTTGTAAATATTATTAGATAATGTGTATTTAAACACAACAACAAGTGTACATCACCAGATAATAATTGATTATTGTCTTCATATTCCTAACGATGATACATGTGAAAACTTAAGTTCTCGGAATTATGATACTTCATGAACTACTAGATCAGATGTGCTTGGTCATGTGGCATATTGAGCACCATAGGATTAACCCACCATGAATTGTTATCGACTGAAAACTTAAGGTCCTTTGTACCGTGGTGCTTTGCTTATCAACAGATCATCATTTATGGTCACGTGTGTGCTAAGCGGCATCAGATTCATAAACTGTCGGTGGATTACTTTATGCATCTAGTATTGTGATGACTCGTTAGTAAGTCTTCAGTATCATGAGTTAACGATTAATAAATAATATAATTTTAGCCTTCACTCATGATAAATAGACTTATATTTGTGTTAAATTACGAAAAGTGATTTTCAGTTGATTAATGTGATTTTTTGGCTAATTCTATAATTTTATGCAAATCTATCTGATTTTTATAATTCTATTTTTGAGATAAATAAAGAAGAAAATAATAAAATAAAAAAATAGAAAAAGAGGGGGACCCGCCAGCCAACCAGGCGCAAGTGGGTCGAAAGCACAATTAGGGAAGACCTACAAGTGGGGGCTTGAGCGGCTATGAACCGATGGGGACACATGCTTGTTACTCCCCTTCCACGGCACTAGTGGCCAGTCGGTTGTGGGGCAAGGAGTAGTCGTACACCTGAGAGAAAGGTTATTACTTAGAAATATGATATTATTATATATTCGCCTAAAACTTTGGCGTACAACCAATGTGGGACTAAACCCGCATCACACCTTCTCTAGAAAGGCTTGAAAGATTTTAATACCTACACTACCCCTTATTTATAACAAAAATATATCATGACTATGAGAGGGAGAGGGAGAGAGAGAGGGAGAGAGAGAGAGAGAGAGAGAAAGAGAACAAGAGAGAGGGAGAGAGAGAGAGAGAGAGAAAGAGAGAGAGAGAGAGAGAGAGAGAGAAAGAGAACAAGAGAGAGAGGGAGAGAGAGAAAGAGAATGAGAGAGAGAGGGAGAGAGAGAGAGATAGAGAAAGAGAATAAGAGAGAAAAGGAGAGAGAGAGAAAGAGAATGAGAGAGAGAGGGAGAGAGAGAGATAGAGAAAGAGAACAAGTGAGAAAAGGAGAGAGAGAGAAAGAGAACGAGAGAGAAAAGGAGAGAGAACAAGAGAGAGGGAGAGAAACAAGAAAGAGGGGAAAACTCCCCCCTTTTGCTCCTCTTACCTCCTAATTTATTTGGTAATTTTAAGGGTTTTCAAAATAGAAAGATGAGGTGGCATCCAACAAGTTTGCATGCACTTCTGTGCTAATGTGGCTCATAAAATATAACTTAGATGATGTTGCCTTCTATGACTGGTGACATCTTCTATTTTAACTTAAACTTCACAAAAATCAAATAAAATAATGTTCTATTGATTATATCAAATTATCACTTTAATTACACATTATTAACTCATAAAATAAAATAGTTCAAGGTTATCTACCTAAGACAAAGATTTGAGCATAGATTTGAAGGTTAAGTAGAAATTTCTCAAAAATGATATGAAGATTTGAGCAGAAATTTATGAAATTATTTCTAGAATCTTACTTTAAAATTTTTCATTCAATTGTATTACATTTGACATTAGTTAATGTGACATTTATCATCATTTGACCTTAATTAACAAACAAGTATGACCCCTTAATACCTACTGATAAGTCTTCATTATCATGAGTTAATAATTAGTAAATAATATAGTTTTAGCCTTAACTCATGATAAATAGACTTATATTTGTGTTAAAGTGTGAAAAGTAGTTTTCAGTTGATTAATGTGAATTTTTAGGTAATTATGTGATTTTACATGAATTTATATGATTTTTATAGTCTTGCTTTTGAGATAAATGAAGAAAAAGAAATTAAAAATAAAAAAAAGACAAAATGAGGGGGACTCGCCGGCCAGCCGGGCCCGCAAGCGGGTCGGAAGCTCAATCAGGGAGTAGCCGCGAGCAGGGGATCGAGCGGCTTGGACCGATAGGGGCATGTATGCGCCACTCCCCTTCCACGTCACCGGTGGCCAGCCGGCTGTGAGGCAAGGAGTGGTTGTACACGCGAGAGAAGGAACTTTGCTTAGAAATGTAACATTACTATATATTCACCCGAAAAATCGGCGCACAACCAATGTGGGACTAAACCTGCGTCACACTTTCCTCAGAAGAGGCGGACAACTGGCACGGGTTCGAATCCTCCCAGAGTCAAAAGTCATATATTTTTATCTGATTATCGCGACTTTCCTGCAGATCGCCAGTGAAGGATTAAGCAATGAGAATCCCTAGATCATCGGCGAAAATCTCGGCAACGCGATTCGCAGAGCATTGCTACTAAAATTGCTGAACAATTCGCGAAAAAAGGATCGCAAATCCATCGAGTAAATCATCTCCGATTGATCGACGAACAAACCGTCGTCGGGAAGAGGACGATCTGTCGGGAGACGAGTCGCCACCTCCTGAGAGCGTACCAAATGCAATGAAGAGCCTCCTCTTGCTGTGCGGACTTGAGGATGAAGCTCCCTAACACGCGCCCCACCTCCATCCAGCTCATCTCCGTCGGGTGACAGCCGCCAGAGAGCCGTAAAGTCGCTGTTTTTTCCACTTTGCCGGGTGACAGCCGCCGAAGACGAGTCGACGACCCATTCCATTGATCTCTAGACTTTGAAAGGAGATCTAGATATTGCCCACGTCATCTTTGTCCAAGGAGAGCCTTTGAGGCCGTGGACACTATAGGACGATCCTCCCGAACACTTAGGATTCCGGTGCATCACCGACGCATTGCTGTCGCGACGCCAGAACTCTATTTTCCTGCTTTCAACTTAATTTACGCTTCATTTAGTGATACTTTGTGTGATTTTAATTTACCAAAATATACTTCGTTCAATTACGATTCTTCCAGCTTTTACAGATCTTAATTTGATTAATTTGGACTACTTTATGATGCATATAACCTTAAACCATGGATTATACCAATCCAATTTCTTCTTTTAAACATTCATAGAAATCAAATTCGCTTATGTAAGAATCGCCAGGCGGAACTCTGTTTCCGCCCGATTCGCGTTCGCCGGGCGTTGATGTCATCCTAACGTCTACACCCTTATTTCCTTTTTTCATGAATTTTAAATATATTTCCTTTTCATTTTGTAGTATAAAATCCATAGAAAATCGTATTCATTGAGAAAAAAATCTGAATAATTACCAAATATTATATTACATCCCTGTGATCAACCTGGAAAATTACCGCTATTTTTGGAAGTTTTATTAAATTATAATTGATATATTTGTTCAGAAATACTTCTAAATATCTAAAAAATCATATTTTCTAGTTTTATAAATTTTAGATTTGTGTGATTTAATATACAACAACTGAGTCATGTCAAATTTTGGCGCCGTTGCTGGGGATGTATTGCATCATATTTAGTATTTTTTTTTTTCTCTTAGAGTACACAAAAAAAATTTAACTCTTATTTTATTTTCTTCTTGCCGATTTTGTTTTTAGAAAAAGGGAACGAAAAGAAACAAGGCAAGGACTGGAGCATACTGAAGGAGGGTAACAATTAATGAACTTTTCCCTCAAATTTATTGTTTTTTTATGCATGGTAGAAGATCCTTGCATCCAAGGCTAGAAAATCCTTTCATTATTTCATTCAAAACTAAAAATCTGAAATAAAAATTAATTTTGATAGATCCTGAAGAAAGTACAGGTCAAACTGAGAACAATCCTATGGCCATGAAAAATTATTATATCCTTGATTCATTTCAAAGAGCATCCAATATTAGAGTCCCATTAGCACCCAATGTTAAATTCGAAATAAATCCAAGAATTTTTCAAATGCTCCCTAATTTTCATGGATTGCCTTTAGAAGAACCTCATCAGCACTTAGAAAAATTTTATATGGTCATGATTTAGTTAATCTCCCTCAAGTTACACCAGAAATTATTAAGATGAAATTATTTCCTCATACACTTAGGGACAAAGCTAGTCATTGGCTATCCACATTAGATAGAGAATTAACTAGCTGGAAAGACATAGAACAAGCCTTTCTTCGAAAATTTTATCCCTTAGGAAAAACTCAAAATATGAGAAAACATATATGGAATTTTTCTCAAAGATCAGGAGAAACTTTACATGAGACATGGGAAACATTCAAAGATTTACTTAGAAAGTGTCATTATCATGTTATACCCAAGTGGCAGCTCAATAGAATTTTTTATGATGGATTATTAGAACAACATAGAAATATGGTTGATTTTATATGTGGAGTGATAAGTCTTCATTATCATGAGTTAATAATTAGTAAATAATATAGTTTTAGCCTTAACTCATGATAAATAGACTTATATTTGTGTTAAAGTGTGAAAAGTGGTTTTCAGTTGATTAACGTGAATTTTTGGGTAATTATGTGATTTTATACGATTTTTACAGTCTTACTTTTGAGATAAATGAGCCAGCCGGGCCCGCAAGTGGGTCGGAAGCGCAGTCGGGAGTAGCCGCGAGCAGGGACTCGAGCGGCTTAGCTTGGACCGATAGGGGCACGTGTGCGCCACTCCCCTTCCACGTCACTGGTGGCCAGCCGGCTGTGGGGCAAGGAGTGGTCGTACACGCGAGAGAAGTGACTTTGCTTCCGAAGCTAACATTACTATATATTTGCCCGAAAAATCGGCACACAACCGATGTGGGACTAAACCCGCGTCACACCTTCCTCACAGGCAGGCGACCGGCGCGGGTTCGAATCCTCCCAGAGTCAAAATTCATATCTTTTTATCTGATTATCGCGACTTTCCTGCAGATCGCCGGTGAAGGATTAAGCAACCAGAATCGCTGGATCATCGGTGAAAATCTCGTCAACACGATTCACGGAGCATTGCTACTAAAATTGCTGAACGATTCGCGATAAAAGGATCGCGAATCCATCGAGTAAATCATCTCCGATTGATTGACGAACAAGCCGTCGTCGGGAAGAGAACGATCCGCCGGGAGACGAGTCGCCACCTCCTAAGAGCGTACCAGATGCGATGAAGAGCCTCCTCTTGCTGCGCGGACCTGAGGATGAAGCTCCCTGACATGCGCCCCACCTCCATCTAGCTCCTCTCTGTCGGGTGACAGCCGCCGGAGAGCCGCAAAGTCGCCGTTTTTCCGCTCCGCCGGGTTACAGCCGCCGGAGACGATTCGATGACCCACTTCATTGATCTCTAGACTTCACGAGAAGATCTAGAGATTGCCCATGTCGTCTTTGTCCAAGGAGAGCCTTCGAGGCCGTGGACACTGCACGACGATCCTCCCGAACGCTCAGGATTCCGGTGCATCGCCGACGCATCGCCGTCGTGACGCTGGAACTCTATTTTCCTGCTTTCAATTTACTTTACGCTTCATTTAGTGATAATTTTTGTGTTTTTAAGTTACCAAAATATACTTTGTTCAATTACGATTCTTCTGGCTTTTACAGATCTTAATTTGATTAATTAAATCGTCTGTAATCGCTTACGCAAGAATCGCCGGGCGGAACTCTGTTTCCGCCCAATTCGCGTTCGCCGGGCGCTGACGTCATCTTGACATCCGCGTCCTTATTTCCTTTTTTTTTTCGTGAATTTTAAATATATTTCCTTCTTATTTCCTAGTATAAAATTCATAGAAAATCGTATTCATTGAGAAAAATTCTGAATAATTACCAGATATTATATTATATCCCTGTGATCGACCTGGAAAATTACCGCTATTTTTGGAATTTTTATTGAATTATAATTGATATATTTATTTAGAAATACTTCTAAATATCCGAAAATTCGTATTTTCTAGTTTTATAAATTTTATATTTGCGTGATTTAATATACAATGACTGAGTCACGTCAGCTACCTACTTATGATGTTTATAATAATAATAATAATAAAAAAGAAAGTCTAGCTGAATAAATTTAGAAAAAAACCCACGAAATGAAAATGTTAGCACAGTGAATACATTGATTGAGAATATTTTACTTGATCCTTATTTCCAATTATTAGAAGAAATTGATGAGCCATTAGAAGTAAATGAGAATATTAAGGCTGAAAATATAGTAGCAGAAAATTTGAATAAAATCATTTATTGCTCACAATTGATGAATGAATATAGTGAGGATGATGAGGAGAAAGAGCTTTTAGATGAAGAAACAACAGCTGATCATGGAAAAATCATCCAAATTTTAGTAGAAGGGAGTAAGGACACAAATGAAGAAAAACATATTTCAGGTGAGGAAAAATCAGTTGATTTGGGAGATGTAGGAGACAAAATTAATAAACCTAATCATAATTTTGCAGCCATGGATGTTGATAGTGAGGATGATGATGTATATCATATACCGAAATTAAAAGATAGCTCTTGGGAAGATGAAGAATTTGATGAGTTGAGAAACGAAAAGCTAGAAAAAGAGTTGATTCAACTAATGGGGAGAAACAAAAATAATAAATATAAATATAGAGATAATTTTGGAAGAGAAAATTTGAATTTTACTGAATTCATTAGATCTGAGATTAAAGAAGACAATCCTTCCATCCTTCCAAACCCACAGCCCATTAGAATTATTTCTAAGCTTGAAATATTTTACTCCTCGCAAATTGAACAAATATGTATGGAAGATAAAATAGAGCAGGGGAAGATTATGCAGATAAAAGAACACATTAAGAAATGGGTGAGTGGAAGAATTAGAGATATCAATTTAGATGAAAAAATTCTAGATTGGGTAAGAGCTAATTTGAAAATTATATGGCCTGATCACATTTTATGGTCTATTAATAAAAAGTATTTATTAATGAATGAGAGCCTTACAAAACAAGATAGAAATGAGAAAAGATTCTTTTCAAAATGGAAATATTATTTTTGGGAAGATTTTGTTAATTTCCATTTTCTTTTGGCTGAAAGTATGTCAAGGTATATATATGAAGTATATGAATTTATGCTAAATCTGAAAAAGAATATCATGAAACTTACCTTGGGATACAAATATATTTTGATGGTCATAGATCATCTTATATGATCTAAGAGCTGTCCAGCTGGAGACATTAAATTCAGTGCTGCATGGGAGGCAACCCATGGTTTTTATTTCATTCTGTTTGATTTATTTTCTTTGTTTGTGTGCTTATGTTGAATTTCTATCAAATGAGTTTTTTGTATTGATTGTCATTAAATTTTAAAACAAACTGTTTATTTTTTCTTTTCCTTTATTAACTAATATCACAGCATTAACATCTACAATAGAAGAAACATTATTTCTATGTTCATCTAACTGTGATTTCAGTTCTATCTTTTCTCTAGGTAAGTCATCAGTTTTTTTTCTGATACATTCCTAATTGTATTGAAACAGATTTAATATTTTATTTTTAAGCATTAATTATCTTTCCTAAAAAATTTAAGCTTTGAATTAACAACATTTCAAGCATCACAATTTTTAGCAAAACAATCATATAACTCTTCCATAGTCATTTCTTCATCAAAAAGATTGTTTACCGCAGAATCATGTGTAGGAATGCACAAATTTTCTTTGCTCTATTTTTTCTGTTCTAATGAAGAATTATCTTCATCACTACAAGTAGCCATCATTACCTTCCTTTTTATTTTATTAAATTTGACATTTGGAGAATCAGCTTTCAGCTGACCTGGTTTTCAGTACTCAAAGCTTATTACCTCTTTTTTAAATTTTTGTAGTAACAGAAAAAGAAAATTTGAGCCGTTTCAAAAAATTTCCATTCCCTTGCTTGGTAGAGAATTTTCTTAACCTTGTAGTTAACATAGTTTATTCTTCTATATCCTCCTTTTCTTCTGACGTCTCCCTATCATCTTTAATTTCAGCAGATTTCAATGCAATGGGTTTTTGTATATTTACTTCATCATTTCCTATACCAATCTCATATGTCAATAGAGATCCGAACAGGCCATTTAGAGATAATTTCAGAGGTCTTTGGCTTCATCTACAGTTGTGACTTTGGTCTACAATATAGAAATAAAGACAATAAAATATTTATATACATCTAAGCCACATGATAAGTTCTTATATTTTTTCTAACATTTATATATCAGTAAATCTAACAAATACCTCATAAATGGTCTCATTCTCCTCATACCTGTGAATCATCAATAAATGACTTGTAATATATCCTAAATTATGTGGTTCCTTCGTAAATTGTCTGCAATATCTCCTAAATTTCGTTTCGTGGTTCATAGGTTAAAAAAGGCAAAGGAGGTCTATGGTCAAAGATAAGGATATCAAAGTCAAAGTTAGTTTAGAATGTACCATTTTTGGCCAAAATGAAAATGGTGTCACTATGGAAGTCCTAGTTGTTTCTAGATATGCTATCAAAAGATTGCAACTATACACCTAGTTGATTACAATTGAAAAAAAATCTTTAAATGAAGACATTCATAGTTTTGGCATTTAGTGATAAAATCTTCATACATTGCCCTATAGATACATCCATAATTTCTAATGACTCTTCAGTGATATTCTCCCACACTTGATGATCTAAGACCTAGATAAATATTTTCATCCAAAACTTATATTTTAAATCATTGAATATAGGTAGTCTATGAACTAAACTCCCTTCTAAATGTTTTCCTAAGGTACTGATCTTGGGAAATAGTACTCATAAAAATAAATTCCTATATATAAAGGTAGGTTTGATGCCACTTGTTGGATTTTAGGCCACACTTAATTGAAGAAGGGCAGTCAAATTGATTGTATCCTAATTATTTAACCTGGGTCAATTATTCTCAAGATCTTTGATCTCCTTTCTTTGAACCTAATTGTAAGGTTTTTTGAGTTCTAAATATAAACCACTCTAGCATTATTTAAATGATTTCACCCCTCTCCAAGAACTTCTCGGTTCTCAAGTTCCATTAGAGAAATAGTACAACACTCACAATCACTAATTATTGGGTTCGGTTTCTACAGAATTTTAGTCAAAAAGTTTCTTCTAGATTCATAACTCCAAGAGTCCAACAACTGATTATTGGGTTCAACTCTCTTGAGTGATTATATAAAAAATTATTTACAAGTTCTAACAAATAATAGAAACGATTTCATTATTGGTTATTTCCTAATGGAGGTGATAACTTAGGGTGTATTTGGAAACTCAATGAAGAGGATGATAATAAAAACTGATTCTTGTTGTCCTTGTCTTATAGGTAAGATGGATGAATATAGAAAGCCTATCTACTTTTATCTAGTCAAGAAAGATCTCATGTAGCTTTAACTTGATTCCTTGACTCACTACATTCTGGTCATTTTACTAGCAAAGAAGACCACTCAAATTTGCATAGAATTCTCAACAAATGTATGAGCAAGATTCTCAAATCGATAAAGAGGTCAGAGATAATCATTCATAATTCATTACCTATCAGAAAAATACTATATTTATAGATAAATGAAATTCAAAAACCTCCCTTGTTTTCCACTATCTCTCAACATTTAAAGCTTAAACTTAGTCAAAAAATGAAATAGACTAAAGCCAATATGATATAACCTTTAAAGATTTGGATATTGTCAATGGAAACGAATACATATTATTGTTAGGTACTAATGAGAACACACACACACACACACACACACACACACACATAGATGTATATATATGAGTTCAAACCCTCACTCCACAAACTTAAAAACTGATAATAAAATATCTTATGTGATACAAGTCATGGTTTCCTTTGTGAGAGCCTTGCCTTGTGTTGGCGATCGACTGATGGTGGCTCCATATCAGAAATAGTCTTGGTGTCCTTTGGTCTTCAAAGCTTCCCCTATAAATATATGTAGCTTATCTATTTGAACAAGTCCTGTAAGGATCCATTATAGCAGAAAGAAATCCAATAATACATTTTGAGATAAAGTAGTGATTTAGTAATCAAAACTAAACGAACTCACCACAAAAAAAAATTAATTTTCAAGTAGACACATTGAATCATAATCTCACCATGTAAGGTCATCACTTCAATGATACAAATATTTAAATTCACTTTTCAAATGATAATAATTAATATTAAAAAAATCATGTGATAATATGATTGGTTTTAATTGATTCAATTAACTCAAAATCAAAATCATTCAAAAGAAATGACTTATCAACATGGGTATCTAATATATTGACTTAACATTCTTACCCATATTTTACACACACAAAAGAGTATTTATTCTTAAATCAAGTTCATGAATAGTAAACATAATTCGATATTTTAATTGGTTTGACACATTTTTGATATTTTCAATCAGATTTATACTTACACATAAAGTACTATTGTAGTGTTCTAATTTATTTCAATTTTCTTAACAATTTTGATTTCTTTATGAGTTT